ATTTGTTCCAAAAAAGATTTGAGCGGAAAAAAAGAAAGCATTATTTGTGGGAAATTCACTCGGTTTGGTATTGCAAGTGTTCTTTTCATTGAGCTTCTCTTGTTGTTGTTTTTACAGTATAAACCAAGTGAATAGAAGTTTGGTAAAGCCAAAGAGGGCTGAAATACCTGCCGAAAGCTTTTGACACATTGGAAGGAAACATCAAGTGTGGCATATTGGATGGATGGATGGATGTATGGATGGATGTATGGATGGATGGATGGATGGATGGAAGGATGGATGGATGGATGGATGGATGTACTGTATTGAATTTAAATCATTTTTTAAATATTAAGTAAAAATCTTTTCAAACTGGGATATTTGAAAAAAAGCAAAAAGTCTTCAGCATTTAGCCCAGTATAAAGCCTCCTTTTACACTGCACACAACAAACGGCAAGCAACAGGCTGGAAGTCATTCATTTCCAATGGAGAGTAGTCTGGGAGCTGCTTGGAGTTCCGATCATCTCCGCATGCGGAAAATTCGGATCCGATTTGAGCTGCGGATCCGTTTAAATATTTGAACTCCTGCGACTAGACCGCATGCGACTGGCCAACCGGATGTGATGTATTTCAGTGCTGTCCAAGCAGATCCGTGCGCACGAGATTTGAAATAGTAGTTTTTCCATTATTTTTTTATTTGATTTTTGATTTTTTGATTTTTTGTCTAAATTAAAAAAAGAAATTCTATTCATAAACGAGTAATAAAAATATTATATTTTAATGTCGTCTCCACATTCCCTCCAAATTTTTTAGTTATCTATGAGTTTCTAGTATTCATTCATTCAACCATGGAGAATAAAGGCTCTTGCTTTTGTACTCCTCTATTTCAGACACTGCGAGAACAGCTTCTCTCCCATGGTGCACGTCAGAACTGAACATTCTGTGCGACTGCCACTAGGGGGCGTATTCCTAAAGTCGTGTCCAAATGTCGTGTGCAGTGGAAAGGCTGCTTAAGTCTAAAATTTCATTTATAATGATCTTAAAATGTCTTAAATTAAACTTGGTGAAACCTTCAGAAACCCTGGGTTTATAACAGTGTCATCATAAATAAAAATATTGTTAAAAATATCTTTGAGGTTTTTGTCGCATGTAGGTAACCATGTGCCGTAAAAGGTGTTTCTTACCACCGCAAGTATATTTCAATCCTGTGGGAAGCACTGTAATCCATAAATTTTAAAATATATATATAATCTATTAAAATTGTTATATAATTTCAACTTAACCTGTTTTAATTGTAGCGTTATCTGATGTTTGTATTTTATTTATTTTTTTAACTTAGTTTTAGTTAAAAATAACAACACTGCTTAAAGTCAACCTCTATTTCTAAACATTACTACATAGACAAATGCTTTTTAAAATTCATATAATCTATTTATAGCATCCACCAAAGAGAAACCTTGCTAACCAGCTAATCCTTGACCTCCAGGTCAGAACTGGCGACACTTAAACACAGAAACTGAATTGAAAATGAACGGACTCATACGTTCCCTGAGCACTTGATTGATTAAGCTGTCAGTCTGGCGTGACGAGTCGCTCTGATAAAGTCCGCTTGACAGTCCAGGCCATGAGGCTTTGCCACGCGGTGTTAGATCTAATGAGATTGAAGCTTCATCCGCACACATTAACCACTGCGCTTTTCATGTTCGCCTGTCAGATGTATTGTCCTGCCGAGTGTGTATGCATGATTGATTAACCACTAAATGACTGCTAACTCATGAGGGTAATTACCAACAAACACATCATTTGCTTTCGCCTATTTGCAATGGCGATGCAGTTGTTCCACTGCGACATGCTTTTCATTGAGCGTTTCGCTCTTGTGGGCTAAGGATGCTGGGTAATCCTTTACCATGAGCGGGTTTTAAAGCATTCAGAGAACCGGCTGATAAATATTATGCTTTGTTTCACTCACACACATACATATACAGTTGGATTCAGAATTATTAGCCCTCCTGAATTATTAGCCCCATGTTTTTTTCTCTAATTTCTGTTAAACGAAAGTAGATTTTTTCAACACATTTTTAAACATAATTGTTTTGTAGATCTGAAAAAAATGCTTAATATTAATAATTTTGACCTTATTTTTTTATTATTAAAACTGCTTTTATTCTAGCCTAAATAAAACAAATATGACTTATACAGAAGAAAAAATATTAATTGAAATACTGTAAAAAAAATTGCTTGCTCTGTTAAATATCATTTGGGAAATGTAAAAAAAAAAAAAAGCAATTAAAAATTCAAAGGAAGGCAAATAATTTTCATGGATAAGGAAATGGTGTTGTACACACTCCACTGAAGACATCCATTAGCCTACATATCTAATTTTGTTTGTTAAGTGCAAAGGTTTGTTTCAAAACTATTTCTTAATTCAGTTCTAATTTCCAGCAAATGAATAGATGAACAATAATAATAAAAAAGTGTGGAGTTATATCAAAACACGCGTCCTATTCTCATGCCCCACATGGTAATGCATACGTCTCCAAAACCCGACAGGTGGACAAATCTAAACTTGTTTGTGTTAAAACCAATATAAACATGCATATAATAAATAATACTGCTAATAATAATATTATACAAATGCAAATTGGGATGAATAAACAGAAAAAAGTCCCCTGATATGAGGCATGGAGGCAGTTTTAATAGTTTTTGTTTTAATATTTATGTAGAAATTAATCTTTTTTTTTCTTTTCTTTTTTTTGTCGGAGCCAATAGTCTCGTTGTTAAGTGTGCTGACATATAGCACCGTGGTGCTCACAGCAACCCGAGTTCAATTTCCAACTTGTGGTCCTTTGCCGACCCTTACCCTCTTCTGCTCCCAATACTTTTTTGTCTGTATCCTCCACTGTCCTTTCAAATTAAGTGTGAAAAACCTCTAAAAAGTATTAATTTAAAATTATCTATAAATAATAGTAATTTTTGTAACATTTTAATAATTTTATTTTTTGTCCTATGTAAAGATATTTGTGTGTTGCTGTACATCATAAGTGTTTGGACCAGCATATGTGCAAAACTAATGCGCTGGACTTTAGACCTGCTTTTAGTCAGTGGCACGATCTACAGTTGAAGTCAGAATTATTAGCCCCCCCTTTGATTTTTTTTCTTTTTTAATTATTTCCTAAATGATGCAAGAACAAAGCAAGGAAATTTTTACAGTATGTCTGATAATATTTTTTCTTCTGAAGAAAGTCTTATTTGTTCTATTTCAGCTAGAATAAAAGCAGTTTTTAATATAAAAAAAAACAAAAAAAACATTTTAGGGTCAATATTATTGGCCCCTTTACGCTAATTTTTTTTCGATAGTCTACAGAACAAACCATAATTATACAATAACTTGCCTATTTACCCTATCCTGCCTGGATAACCTAATTATCCTAGTTAAGCATTCAAATGTCACTTTAAGCTGTATAGAAATGTCTCGAAAATATCTAGCAAAATGTTATTTACTGTCATCATGGCAAAGAGAAAATAAATCAGTTATTAGAAATGAGTTATTAAAACTATTATGACTAGAAATGTATTGAAAAATTATTATTTCTGTTAAACAGAAATTAGGGAAAAAATTAAACAGGGGGGGGGGGGGTGAATAATTCAGGGGGGCTAATAATTCTGACTACAACTGTATTTCAGTTCCTCAAAATAGCAACATGCCAACAATGCGCCTTAACACACCTCCGTTTTAGACCGGAACACCCATGAATCTACAAAGAGGCACGAAAGGATTTGCTACAGTATTTAAACAATGAAACTTATTGTTGCGCTGGTCTGAAAATAGCAACAAATTGTGCCATACACATCTTGTGCCTTATTGCGCTGGGTGTATGATAGGGCCCTATAGCATAAAGATTTCACAGCTAAGAATTGTTTTGCTGGTTTTAAAGGTAGTTTTATTTATGTTTTTACTATAAATGGATAAAAAAGGGATATGTTATTTTTGCATTTGACTCATTATATGTGTAATTCTAGGGTTTTTGCTTTTATGTGGAAAATTTTGGAAGCAAGTGTATTAGATGAATCATCTGAATAACTATGTATTTATTGACAGTTCTATGAGATTTTGATTTCACGCTAAGTTGCCCTGTTTAGGTCATCGTTCACCCAGAAATAAAAAATTCTCACCCTTAGGGCATTCAAAATATAGATGACTTTTTTGTAATTTATTTTATTAGTAAATTTAGTTTTATTTTTTCAGCAGAACATTGAAATTTGTTGTTGCTGTTTTTGTTGTTGTTGTTGTTGGAAGTGTAGTCTTTCATGAGAGAACTGTGTTGATTTATAAAATGCAGTCAAGGTTAACATCTCCTTGAGAGTTTAAAAAAAATATTATTTGTGGCTCCTGATGACATATTGATGTGTTATGAAGCAAACTGAACATTATTTACTACAGTATTACCTTTAATCCACAGCCTCAGGCAAATAGAGAGTCTGATTCATTTCTGTCTCAGAATTAATTTCTGTCTCTGTTCCCGATTCAACTGGCTCACATACAAAATTAGAATTACCAGTTCCTGGTTTACACATTCAAGTTTTTAAAGTAATTCATTAAAGATAAATCATTTGAATTTGTTTCACCATTTTAGCCATTAATCAATTATCTTTGCTCTTTGCTAGATTCTGTACCTTTCTATCAAGTTTTGCTTATGGTTAAATATAAAAAAAAATGTCTTTCTCGAAACCCTCTCCCATTCTTGGTTATGTTTGGTGAGTTGGTTCATGTGAATCATCTTTTGAGCTTTAGAGCTTCGGTTAGGGAAGCATAGTGGGCATCGATGCTCCCTGATTTTCACAGTGCATTGTGGGACATTGACTACTAAACGAGGAGCTGATTAAGATGCACCCCATGATAGACTTTTATTTTGTCAATTTTTTCATGCATATATAAGCGTAAATCATAGAATATTTACATTTTAAGTGTTAGCTACTCTGCTGAAACATTACTACAGCAAGTGTACCTTTATGTGTTGCAGAACCAGGTCCAGTGACTCAACTGAGCTTCACTGAGATTCTGGACACATCTCTGAGGATCAGCTGGCAGGAACCAGAAGACAAGAATGGCATCATAACAGGTGAACACAATAGTATTTTACAAATATAAAAAGGTTTACACTTATTGAAAAACATTGTTAGTTTTTGGTTTTATGAACAAGATTAAAAACAACGTCATTGGCATTATAACAGCTATTGCTGGAAAGTTTAGTTATTATTATCGATACTACTTTTAGTTAGTTGCTTCCCAACTACTGTAGCAGGGTTATCAACACCCTGTGTTAATGCAAAATTCATGCTCACATACATTGGGGCAGTCTTAATGACTGAAATGATGGTATTTTTTTTAAAAGTCAAAAACTTTCATGCAGCACATTTAAGTATCGCGTAAGAAACAAAAAATGGAAACAACATATTTTTAATAAAACTCCCCTTATTCGCAAAAAAATGTTTTCTGTTTGATTAAAGTGGTTTTGGACTTATGCGAAAAAGAGTTAATGCGAATAATGGGAGATGGAAAGTTATTTGCTGAATAATATCTGACATAGCAAACATTATACTTGCAGGACTATTCAGCTGTCTCCATTATGCTTGACTTGTCTACTGTTGGTTGCTAGGTTACCAATACTACAGAGAACCACTCTAACTTAATGGAAATGCACCTAATTCACATTTCAGATTTTATTTTTCTTGTGAAGTTTAAAAATATTTACTTCACAATAAGATAGAAACCTGCTTGGGTTGTAATTACATACATTAAGGCATCCTTTATGACTGAAATTATGTAATTTTTATAAACTCAAGTCAAAAAACTACATGCAGAACCTTTAAGTATCGCATAAAAAAGAGGGATGGAAATGACAAATTTCTAATAGAAATTCCTTAATTCGCAAAAAAAAAAAATAGTTTTGTTTTGGACTTGGTCCAAACTTTTGAACTTTGGACTTTTTTGGTGTAAAAAAAATATTATTGAGAATAATGAGAGATGGAACGGCATTTGCTGAATAACTGACATAGTGAACATAACACTCAAATGACTATTTATCTCTATTATGCTTGACATGTCTACTGTTACTAATACTACTAGGTTACTACAGTGAACTGTACCTAATTCACATTTTGTTTAGTATTTTGCTTGTGAACTTGTGAAAATCATTTAATTTGCAAAAAAAATTAATAAATAAAAAAATAAAACATATTTTTAAAAAAAAACATTTTAAGTTCAAAATATTAGCCCCTTTAAGCAAATTTTTCATCGTTATACAATAACTTGCCTATTTACCCTATCCTGCCTAGTTAACCTAATTAACCTAGTTAAGCCTTTAAATGCCACTTTAAGCTGTATAGAAGAATGAATGTCTACTAAAACATTTTTCACTGTCATCATGGCAAAAATAAAATAAATCAGTTATTAGAAATGTGTTATTAAAACTATTATGTTTAGAAATGTGCTGAAAAAATGGGGGGAAAAATAATTAAGGGGGGCTAATGATTTTGACTTCAACTGTAGTTTTGGACAAAAGGGGTAAGTGCGAGTAATAGACGAAAGAACAGCATTTGCTGAATAGTATCTGCCATAGCGAACATCTATGTGACTATTCAGCTTCCTCCATTATGCTTGACTTGTTTACGGTTGGTTACTATATTATCACTACTACAGTGAACCACTCTAGCTTAATGGAAATGCCCCTAATTTGCATTTCAGATTTAATTTTGCTGTAAACTTTGAAAATATTTGCTTCACAATAAGATTGAAACAGACTTATGTTGCAATTACATACATTGAGGCAGCCTTCATGACTGAAATGATGCTATTTTTTAAAACTCAAGTCAAAAACGTACTTGCAGCACCTTTATGTATCGCATGAAAAACTAGAAATGGAAACAAAAAATTTCTAATAAGATGCATGTAGAGGACCCTAAAGAGTGCTTCAAATTAGCCAATGAAAAAGAAGGCAATATCCCCTTTTCTCATTTTCGCCTCTCCATAGGTTACGTCTTGAGCTGGCAGGAGGCTGGTCAGAACGAAACGCTCGTATCTCAGACTCTGTCCAACTCGACGCTGGCGTACAAAGTGACCGGGTTGACTTCTCTCACCACGTACGCTCTACAGGTGGCAGCAGTAACACAAGCTGGAGTCGGGGCTTCCACCTCATCCACCATCTCAACAGGACTGCCTCCAGGTGCCCGCACTCTCAAACAAACACACACTTCAGCACCAGCATCACTTTAATGCATCAAGTTCTCCCTTGGGGATCGGTGATAGTTGCCGTGTTGAAACTCTAAAGGAAATTCGGCACATGAAACTGGATGCCGCAGTGGGGCGCATATTTCACATAGACCAGCAATCCGAGACACAGTCAGTAAGACTGTAATACATCACACAGAGTCAGTATGATGCTCTTGGGGCCGCCGTTTGTGCGCGTGTGTGTGTGTTAGAGAGAACATGAAATAAATGATGATGACCAAAAGCCAAGCTACACTCATTATCTCCCACTGATATGCTGTGGAGTCAGGAGAGAACGAGCTTTATCTACTGTTGAATGAGCCACCCAAATATCATTATCAATCCATTTAATTACCAATTAATCATATGCCCAAACACAATGAGCACTGCTGTACACAAAACCTAATTGACTCTGAAGTGAGTTATGGGCCCATTTACTGGAGTTTTTTCTTTTGAAGGATAATGAAGACACGGGATGGAGCAAACAGACAGAAAATGTGGAAATGACTTACATGAATGTGTTTTGTTGTGTTTGGTGAATAGAGCTTCCTGGTGCGCCCTCTAATCTGGTCATCTCCAACATCAGTCCTCGCTCTGTCACCATTCAGTTCAGCCCTGGCAGTGACGGCAAAACCGAAATCTCCAAATGGATCGTAGAAGGACAGGTGAGTGTAAAGTAATAGTAAAGACTATAGAATACGCAAGATGTGTCACTCGTATAGTTTTGAATGGGGAAAAGTGTAACGTTTAATATGGCTAATTAAGCCCCGCCTACTAGTACAGAAGCCAATCTTCAATCGCTAAACAAAGGGGAGAAGCTCGGACCAGACAGTTGAAACCAACACTCGCACCAACTACACTTGAAAACAAAGATTTTGGGATTCTATAATCTGTATGAAATGAACGTGAGGTACAGTCAGTCCTGTCAAACGCACATCACATGACATCAACTACTCAAACGCTCACAAACTTGTAAACAAAGAGTCACTGTTATTTCTAGAGGAGATTCACCATCAAGACCAAGTTGTGAATTACTTGAGAAGAGCAGCGCGATCTGACAATCTTTATCTAGAGGATGATAATGTGTAGAATAGCCATGAATGAGGTTGGTGTCATGATCTCGTTTCTTTCCAGTGCGCATTAGCTTGGAAATCTGGAATCTGAAAATATGCTGATTTTGTTTAATTTGAAAATTAAAAACAAAACTTATGAGACAGTTGTTGTTTAATTTTATTGGTGGTTCCAAATATGTTAAATAATCATGTAAGCTTGGCAAACAGTTCTGGAGAATTTGATGTGTTTGAAAGGCGTTTCAAAGATGGCCCCTAGTGAAGCGAATGGCCCTAAAGAAACTTTGGTAATAGTTAGCTTCATTGAGTGGATAACTTTTCTACAATGGTTTAAATTGAAAATAAAATGACGTTTTTTTTAGACGTTAGTATCAGTATGTTCGTTTTAAGGATATCTCTCTAGTATCTGCTCCGTCCCCTTCAAGACACTCATTATTTGCTTTTCATTTGATCACTGCAGAACTGTGGTAAACACAAAACACTATCGGCTGTTTTTTTAAAGGTACTCTATGTCTGACCCTCTCTTTATGTTTCTTTTATTTGGATGACGTCAATCATAGAATATAAATGCACTTCTCAAAGCACTTCACAGGATCTTTAAGGGTCAAAATGGTTATCACATGAATAAATTGGATTTTTTGTTAATTTGATAGATTTCCTTATTCAAACTAGTTATTTATGACACTAATAGTCAACTTTGTCACCTGTTACTATAAGTTTTATTTCCTATTTAAAAGAATTACTTTACTTCACATAATAATTCACTTTTACAAAATGGTTAACTTGCCCACAAGCACCAAATTTTTGTGAATTTAACTTTCTATGAATTGGAGTTTTCTCGTTAATATATTCAAACTTAGAACACTAAGTGTCACATTTATTACAACTTTGAGCAAGTATTGATAGTGTGTTCACTGTGAAAAATATCCATAAATTAGCAGTTTTTTTTCTTTCAGAAATGTATATTGGGGGACATTTTCAGAATGAGCCTGGGTTGAATTGTTAGCTTCAAAACTTATTCTTAAATGCTAATTTACCCTCGATAATATGGTTAACTTTGCACACAAACACAAATTTTGTTTGTAAAAAAGATTGTAAAGGGTACTTTTCTTTCTGTGACATGGCTAACTTTGCCAGAAATATCAATATTCTGGCTGCCGAATGGTAAACTTTGCCAATTTTTATTCTGAAAATTGATTAATTTTGCAATGTAGAGCACTTTTTACCTCTGGAAGCATGTGTAACTTTTGCCACAAATTGCTGTTTTCTTCTTGCAAAATCTGAAAGTTTGCAAGCAGCGGCAATTTTCCCTTCTGCCGATTGGTTAACTTTTCCACAAGCGACAATTATATCTCTGCCAAGACGGCTCTTTGGAATATGACTTTTCACTGTGTGTGCTCATAAGTATAAACGCATATGTATGTCTGTGTGTGTGTGTGTGTGTATTCTAGCATGTGTGTATTTGTGGGTGTGTGTTATGCCCTTGTCTGGCAGGCTGTGCTCCAGTGAAGATGCTGTTGTCTGGCAGGTACTTCATCTCCAGGGAAAAACAGGCTTGCTCTTGCACTAAAACATCTTCCCCTGGAGAAAACGCACACACACACTAACACACATGCAAGCCCACACTCTGTATTTGACATCGTACGAGGAGGCTAAGGAGATGTCATGCACCGTGTCTCCCAGCCCTTTAGGTGTGTGTGTGTGTGTGTGTGTGTGAGCATATGTGTAAAGCCGCTCTTGGATGACGTCCAGTGCTGTGCAGCGTGAAGAGAAAAACTCCTCCTAATGAGATCCCTCCCTTTCCCCCCTCCGTTTTCGTCGTTCCTGCCTTTAATACTGTTTAATCGAGGGAGGGCAGAAGGGAGGGAGTGAAGGAAGGAGGGATGAGAGAAGAGAGAGAGGAAGATTAGAGGTACTGAGGTGGCACTAATGGGGTCTTAAGTCTATGGGTTAGAAATCAGCTTGTGTTGGGCTGTTTTTTTACAGCTGACTTCTTCACAGCTGTATCCGGGAACAGGTCGGTTGCTGATTCCTATTCCTTTTGTAATCTTTTCACCTTTCCTCTGCTCCAACATGGCTGCGCAAAACACGCCGTGTGGATATTGTGTTTTCCTGGAGACTGAAACGAGTAAACTAGTTGATTTTGGGAAAATATCATGGGAAATATCATGGATTTTTTTTTTTGTGGCTCCCCTTCTTCTTTTGGATTATTTATGGAGCTGCGTAAACAACGCAATTTTACGATGATTCGTAACTTTTAGTGGCTAGATTGTATTCATCTGTATGAACCCATTTGGGGATTTTAGTGCAATTTGCTCATCTACCAATGAGGAATAGAGTTAGGGGTGTTTTTTTTTAGCAAAATTGTATGTTTTCAATATGTATGTTTACATGGACAAAAATAATCAGATTTTAAAATGATTAAGACAATACTCTGATTATTTAAACAGCGACTTTTGATTAATTTATTAATTTAAGGCCATAATCAAAATGAACAGAAAACGATATTGTGGAGTATGTCGATTTTATTCACATTATTGAAGTGCGGTACAGACATGTAAACACAGCAATCAAACTATTACCATCATGTAGGATTTTCGCTTATTTTTATGTCAGGTTAGTCTACACACAAGGCTCTTTGACACTATTCTTCCTCTATTCCCGCATCACGAAATACCAAGGTTTTGTCCCCTTACAATGTCCAATATCAAATTTCATTAATACTACACTGTTCCAGCAGTTCATACTCGCATCCAATATCTCGTTTGTCACGGAGAGGCATGCATGAAATGTTCCTGAACGAAAGTGAAAGTGCCAAACTGCATTTAAAGTCGAAAAATTAAGAATAAAACACCTGAAATTACATGACATTCTGGAGGAAATGTGGATAGCGTGATGATGTAATAGCATTATTTGAATTATGTGCTGTAACATGTAAAACAAGATCATGAAAAGAACATTCAAAAAGCAACTCATGTTAACACCTTAATCATATTTTTGTCTTATTTAGATCAAGGCAAATAACTTGATTACTGATAACCTTGTAAACATAGTCATTGGTGCGATAGCCCAGTGGTTAGTGCACCAACAAGTGGTGCAGCAGCGTTCTAGGCGTCCCAAGTTGGTGGTCCTTTTCCGATCCTACTCCCCTTTCTTTCCCACTTTACATCCTGTCAACCTACTGTCCTTTCAAATAAAGGAAAAAATGTCAAAAATAAATATTTAAAAAATGGTTTGTTTTCAAATGAATGAAATCGTATAAAGATTTTTTTTTGATAATACATAAAATAGTTACATTTTCTTTCAAGATTGGGCTGACAAAATTTATGTCATCAACAGGATCTCATCAACATGAGATCCACATTCACATGCAAACACCTATTCAGTTGTTATATAGTGATATAGACACGATGATCTGTCATCGTTTTGTAGATGTTGGTTCAAATTTCCTTTTTTGTGAAAATGATCAACAATGTTTTTGCAGTTTCAGTAGGAGCAGAAGGGGAATTATTAAACTGCTTCCTTTTTATTAAACAGTGGTTTACATTCAATTATAGTTCAAATTTACTTAAGGATAAAAACAGTCTGTTTCAGCTGTTGCTTCTAAAGTATGAAGTTTCTGAGCTGTGGCTAAAATCGTCATTTGTTTTAACAATTACTTTTATTCATTCGTTTTCTTTTCGCCTTTGTCTTTTTATTAATCAGGGGTCACCAACCGCCAACTTATCCAACATATGTTTTACGCAGCGGATGGCTTTCCAGCACTAGGAAACACCCATACACACTTGCATTCACACACATACACTACGGCCAATTTAGCTCAACACAGGAAAAACATACAAACTCCACACAAAAATGCCTACTGGCCTAGCCGAGGCTCGAACCAGCAACCTTTTTGCTGTGAGGCGATTGTGCTACCCACTGCGCAACCGTGACACCCACAATTACTATTGTTTATATGGTAAATGTCTAATACTGAAGGGGATAAAGATCCATTTGGGTGAATGAAGAATGATGTTCATGCAGCAGTGATGTCACTAAAGATGACACTATAGGCTATATATGGTTGGTCTGTTGGTTGATTGGTTGGTCAATTGGTTGGTCAGTTGGTCAGTCAGTCGGTTGGTTGGTTGGTTGGTTGGTTGGTTGGTTGGTTGATTGGTTGGTCGGTTGATTGGTTGGTCGGTTGATTGGTTGGCTGGTTAGTTGATTGATTGGTCGGTAGGTCAATTGATTGGTTGGTTAGTTGCTTGGTTGGTCAGTTGGTTGATTGGTTGGTCAGTTGATTGGTTAGTCGTTCTGTTGATTGGTTGGTTTGTTGGTTGGTCACTTGGTTGGTTGGTCGGTTTGATTGGTTGGTTGGTCGGTTTGATTGGTTGGTTGGTCGGTTGATTTATTGGCTGGTTGGTTGGTTGATTGATTGTTCGGTCGGTCGGTTGATCAGTTGGTTGGTTGCTTAGTTGGTTGGATGGTCGGTTGGTTGATTGGTTGGTCGGTTGATAGCTTGGTCAGTCGGTTGGTTGATTGGTTGGTCAGTTGATTGGTTAGTCGGTCGGTTGATTGTTTGGTTTGTTGGTTGGTCAATTGGTTAGTCACTTGGTTGGTTGGTCGGTTTGATTGGTTGGTCGGTTGGTCGGTTGATTGGTTGGCTAGTTAGTTGATTGATTGGTCGGTAGGTCGATTGATTGGTTGGTTAGTTGCTTGGTTCGTTGGTTGGTCAGTTGGTTGGTTAGTCGGTCTGTTGATTGGTTGGTTTGTTGGTTGGTCAGTCAGTTGGTCACTTGGTTGGTTGGTCCGTTTGATTGGTTGGTTGGTCGGTTGATTTATTGGCTGGTTGGTTGGTTGATTGATTGTTCGGTCGGTTGGTTGATTGGTTGGTTGTTTGCTTAGTTGGTTAGATGGTCGGTTGATAGCTTGGTCAGTCGGTTGGTTGATTGGTTGGTCAGTTGATTGGTTAGTCGGTCGGTTGATTGTTTGGTTAGTTGGTTGGTCAGTCGGTTGGTCACTTGGTTGGTTGATCAGTTTAATTGGTTGGTTGGTCGGTTTGATTGGTTGGTTGGTCGGTTGATTTATTGGCTGGTTGGTTGGTTGGTTGATTGTTTGGTCTGTCGGTTGATCGGTTGGTTGGTTGCTTAGTTGGTTGGAAGGTCAGTAGGTTGATTGGTTGGTCAGTTGATAGCTTGGTCAGTCGATTGGTTGGTTGGTTGGTCGATCAGTTGGTCGGTAGGTTGATCAGTTGGTCAGTCGGTCAATTGGTCGGGTGCTAGGTCGGTTGATTGGTTGGTTGGTTGGTCGATTGCAAATCGTTTATAGATGTTAGTAACAGACCATAGACCTGATTGCAACCACATCCTAAGTGTAACCACATATCACTAAATGTATCGGACCCATTTAAATTCTACACAGAATGCTGTCTTTTACAACAATGGGGGCAGATTAATGACTAGATTAATTTCAGCTTTACTGATAAACTGTGACTGTTATAATCTGTCAGATGCTGCTTTATTAATCTCAACTCTGGCCAATGTTATAAACACAATGCTATTAGATATTTTAAAAGTGGGCAATTCGCTGCTTCATATGTCCACCCCTCTTCATTCTCATTTCATTGGAGACAATTGCAACACATTTTGTGTGTTTTAAGGCACTTTAAGCAACATTTAAGTGAAACAGCACAGACTAAAAGGTCAAGTTTTGGGTTTAAAGGTGGATATCATTTCTTTTAAATAAAGAAATATAAAACAATAAGCTTTAAATTAAGTTAGACATGTTCTGTGGCTGAAACAACACTGTATTTATTCAGTACATACATGTATTGAAACTGAAAAACCTGTAGCTTTTTTGTCAAATGAGTTCAGTAAATGGGTTTATTTTATGGAAAGGCTTCAGTTATTTATTTATTTATTATTTTTTAATGTGTTCTACAAATAACTGAAAGTGATACACATTTGGAGTGATACAAGTGTGAAAAAACATGATAGACATTCCATTTTGGGGTAAATCATCCATTCATACTTCCTAGCCCATCCTGATAGTGTCAAACATAAGGTTACCAAATCATAAAAGACCTCAATTACATATGGAAATGTAAAAGATCCAGCAGGCCAAAATAGTCCACGGATCACAGAGAGGCTGTAAAATGCACAATTATAGCTGTTTTTTTCTGCATAAGAAACATTATAAGTGAAATTCAGAATGGCCCCCTTTAAGTATTTTGACAGTTTATACATGGTAATGATAGGAATAGCTAACCGCATGATATTAATCACAGGTTGCTCGATGAATAAATGGAAACCGCTCTCTACAAGGTCCTAGAGAAAATGTGAGTCACGTGACTGTGACATGTTTGAAATGATAAGCAGTTTTTATTTGCAGATAATGACTGGTTACATTAGCCTGTGTTTCTTTGTAGATTTATTTGCTTCATATGGTGGACGTACTTTTAATAAGCTTATTTACTCATTGCAACCATATTAAGATCAAGGTGGTTTAAAAAAACAAATGAATCTTGCATGTCATTATTGATAATCTGCGGCAATAAGTCTTTGAGAAACAAATCACAGGAAAACAAAGCCATCAGTCCTGAGTCTGCACTGCGGGCAGCTTGGTTTCGGGTTTGCTGTTGCTTTTCACTGTCAGTCTAAAGTTTTTTTTCTATCATCTACTCTGACTGCTGAATCTAACTCTCAGTTTATTTGGAATGACACTCTGCCATAAAGCCCATACTAGGAGGAATGCTGGATGTACTGTACGCAGTGTGCGGTGCCTAGATCTACCTAGATTTGCAGTATACAACATGTGGAATCTGATAAGTCCCTGAAGCTCCAATCTCTCAGCTGTGATCTTAGCAGCTCATTTGCGGCTCATTTTGCTGATGTCATTATAGTGTCAATTCTTTTTTAAGCAAAGATTGAATAAAAAGGTGAAATGTGCTTTGACATGTTTGCTATATACTTAGATTAAATACATTTTTTAACTCCCCACTCACTTTGCAATAGTTGTGTACCAGGCCCGGATTGGCTAATCGGGAGGACCGGGAGAATTCCCGGTGGGCCGGTCCGTTTTTTGGCCGCGAGGGCCGGTATCCCTAGCTCCAGAATCTGTTGCTCTCAGCAGCCACACTTTTTAAATTTATTTATTTACTTGACCACAGCCTTTTTATTCATTATTTTACCGCAGCTCTACTCTTTATCTATTTTCTCGCAGCTCAGAAAGCAAGATGCAGCCTGCAAAGTTGATGATGATATAACTAAGATGAGTCACTGTTGATTCACTAACTGTTATGGTTCAGTGGATAGCACGTTAATTTAAGACGCCGCTGACCCGGGTTCGATCTCCGTCTAAGTAATTTATTTTTTTTCATTTTTATTGTTAAGACATATAATACTGTTAGGGTTGTTGAACATTTGAAGTTCTAAAACAGCTGTTTTCTCAAAAAAAAAGACGTGATAGTGTCATTAGAAACTGATTCGGAAATGACCTTATTTTAATATAGTCAGTCATGAACTGAGGTGGGCCGGTCTGAGGCTTGAAACTCCAGGGCTGAAAAGGAGTCCCACTCCGGCCCTGTTGTGTACAATATGCAAATTTTAAGTAAGCATAAAACACAAAGATGTAAATCAGTTGTAAGATAAAGATTAGTAATTTACACTTAAAGCAATCAATTAAGTTAAACTTTTTAGCTTATTTGATTTAGAAAATTAAAACATATTCCTTTTATTAAAATTGATTGATTGATTCTGTTGCCGCACAGCAAGATAGTCACTGGTTCAAGCCTCAGCTTGGTCAGTTGGCATTTATGTGTGGAGTTTGCATGTTCTCCCCATGTTGGCGTGGGTTTCCTCCGGGTGCTCCGGTTTCCTCCACAAAGGGCATCCACTGTTGAAAACATTTGCTGGATAAGTTTTTATGGTTCATTCCACTGTGGTAACCCCTGATTAATAAAGGGACTAAGCTGATTGATCGATCAATTGATTGATTAATTCTTTGTTTTAAGCTACACTTTCAAAAATAAAGGTACATAAGCTTTCACTGGGGTGGTACCTTTTTAAAAAGTACTTTTTATACCTAAAAGGGTCTATAATTGAAACATAAAGGTACATATTATTACATAAAAAGTACAATAGAATACTTTTAGGTGAAAAAAAAATATATATATATATCATTTGAAAAGGTGCCACCCCAGTTACAGCGTTTGCACTTTTATTTCTGACTGTAGATCAGCAGGTTCTCAATCCTGGTCTTCTTGGAGAGTTACACTGTGCATATTTTGTTTGATGCCTGCAAAGTCGAGGACTCCAGTTTGAAAGCATGTTCAATTCAAAGAGTAACATGCGGAAGGCATGCCCTATGCTAATCACATGATCAATAGCAACATATAACCCTTCATATAATAAATGTATGTAATAATTATTATTTTATTATGTTAATAATTGTTTCATTTTATTATTATTACTTTTTTAAAAAGTCTCCCTCGCTGCTGGAATCAGCTTCCAGAAATGATCAGATGTGCTCAAATATCAGGCACATTCAAATTGAGACTGAAAACATACTGAATGAGCACTTTGCTACGTCCGACAGATCATACTATTATGTTTTTCTTTTCATTCTTTTATAACCTGTTTTACCTCATTTTAATCTATTTTTAATAATTTTTATTGTTTGTTTTTTATGTTCTTTTATGTTCACTTTGAATTGCCACTGTTTATGAAATGTGCTATATAAATAAACTTGCCTTGCCTTGCCTTACAGGTCAAAATCATTGCTGGTCTTGTTGCGTTTTTTCATGTCCAGTAAAGTATGCAGTCCCTTCTCCATTTCAGCTCATCCTCTGTATGTCCACAGGTGGTGATTGTGGGTGAGGAGGAAAAGGAGGCAGAATGGAAGGTTTTATATGAGAGAGACAGTCCTCCAGCCTCAGACACACTGGAGATTCCCAATCTCATCCCCTTTACTCAATACAGGTCAGCCTTTCACTGAAAATCTCACGTTATCCAAATCACACCAAATGAAACATAAAGACCTTCACAAACCTGCCCAGTCTTTCAGTGTTGCTGTTTTCAGCCACTATTCTCTCTTTATAAATGTATTTGAGCCATTCATGACGGTTAATATTGATTAAACACTCATCACACTCTTTGCTCCTGCATTTTTTTTTTGTTTTTACTGTGTTTCATTCTCCTCTTCTCTCTCACTCTTTCTCTCATTCGCCATTTCTCTCTCTCCCTCTGTCTCTCCTTAATTGATTTTCTCAAGGTCCTGTGGAAAGATTGTCTTCTGATTCTCAGCACACTATCTTGTCCTAAAGGGATTACAGATGATCAGAGTCTGCAAAGATCTGTTATCCTGTCCAAAATCGCCTGTCCTCCTACTACTCTAGAGCAAGATCGGGGAATTAAAAATGTTGTTTTCGTTCTCGTTCTCTCCTCTTTTATATGGCTTCTAGGTTCAGAATGAAGCAGGTGAACATTGTTGGTTCGAGCCCCTTTAGTGAGTCCTCCCGATTGATGCAGACCCTGCAGTCCAGTCCAGATGTGGCCCCGACTGAGCTTGTCGTGTTTTCAGCCAGTGAAACCAGCCTGAGGATTCGCTGGGAGGTTAGAAAGACATACACACACAATCTGCAAACATTTACACTTAAGTTCACAGCTAATGTAGATTTTCTGCAGGTAAATGTGATTCTGGGTTATGGACTGTACTTGTATTCAGTAAGGAGATTTCTAAAGAATAAGGACTAGAGGAATGTCTGCTAAAATGTTTTAGTAATAGATCAAAGTTCTTGGTGTTTCACTGTACCATTGATTAAAGTGAAGTTTATTTATGAACTAATTTCGAGAGGATCGTGTACTTATGATTGCTTGCAGCCGGTCCCGCATTATTCAATTTATAATAATTTACCAATCAGATGATTCCTAAGCCACTATAAATACCCTAAGTTCCATATAACAGCCATCTTCGTTCTGAAGAATCCCCCCTTCCACCCCTACTCCTCCGCTTTTCCTAGATGGGTGGCATGGTGGCCCAGTGATTAGCACTGTTGCCTCACAGCAAGACTGTCACACTGTAATCCCGAATAAGTTGACAAAACTCAAAAAATTTGAGGTAATCAGTTACGTCAAATTTTTTAAGTTATGAAATTATCTATTTTAAGTAAACAGAAACATTAAGTTTTGAGTTTGTTGTACTCATGCAAGACACTTCACCTAGCTTAAAATACCCAAGTTACTCAGCTTATACGTTTTAATTGCAATTAACTTAATTGTTTTAATTTTTCCAAACTTTAAATACTTAGTCACCCAGCTCATACATTTTAATACCAATTAACTTAATTGCTTTAATTTCTTTCAACTTTAAATACTTAAATCACCCAGCTCATACATTTTAATAGCAATTAACTTATTTTTAATTATTTATCTCACCTTTACATACTTAGTCACCCAGCTCATACATTTTGATTGCATTTTTTAAAATTAACTTCTCCATCGTCAGTTTCACAATTAAAATTAGCCATTATTTTAATCTTTAAACCCCATAAATCTGTCAAAATAAATCTGTAATTTAAAACACACAGACAATACCATTTTAGACATTTATTGTTAAAGAAAAAATGTCCAACAGTACTTTCAAATTTGTCTCCTATGCAATTACAAATGTCTTAAAACGATAAAAACTATTAGACATAAAGAGATTGAAAATGAACACTATTCTGAAATTAATAAAAATTACCCACAATGTAAATATGATATCAGACATAAGAGCCTCAAGAAAAAACAACTACAAGTTTGATAAAATTTAATAATACATTAATAAGTGTAAAACTTACTCTTAAGGCATTCGTTAAAAAAAATAATAAGTGCACATTCTGTGAAGTGACTCGTTTAGTGTAAACTACACAGAAACTGTATATATATATATATATATCGTTAAAGTCAGAATTATTCGCCCCCATTTATTTTTCCCCCAATTTCTGTTTAACGGAGAGCAGATTATATATATATATATATATATATATATATATATATATATATATATATATATATATATATATATATATATATATATATATATTGTAGCGAGGCAGAGGGAAAACAGCGACACAGTTGGATAAGTTTACAGACAAGTCCCCGGAGGGTGCTTTATTTACAACGTGAATGGGGTGTAAACGGTGCTCTTCTTCAAGGTGAGGTGCTCCGGGAAGTAAGTGAAGGACAGTGAGTAGTCGGATGTGGGATCGTCACGAGCTGGAGTCTGCTGTGGAGAGACAGAGATACAAGCTTTAGCACATGGAGTCATTGGGTGAATGAAGCTCATCTTCTCCTTGCGTTGGCTTGGTTTATATGCCTCTCCACTTGATGACGTCCAGCTGTGAACGATCCTGTGTTGATGATGGTCCAGCTGGGTTGAATTAGCGACCAGGGCGACGTGGCATGTGTGCGCTTGTTACAATATATATATATTCAGTCTTGGTTGAACTATGATTCTGTCATTTACTTATTCCAAACCTGTTTGAGTTTCTTTCTTCTGTTGAAAAAAAAAAAAAAAGCTGAGACCTGTAACCACCGATTTCCACAGTATTTGTTTTCCTATTAGAAAGTCAGTGGTTACAGGTTGTCAGCTTTACTTAACTTTTGTGTTCAACAGAAGCAAGAAATTCAAGCAGGTTTGGGACAAGTGAAGAGTTAGTAAATGACAAAATTTTACATTTGGACAAACTATCCCTATATATAATAAAATGCATACTTACCAATTAAAGGTAAATAAATGTTTTGAAGTTACTACCCCAGAGACAGTCTTTATTAAGTTAAAAAAAAAAAAAAAGCTCTACATCAACTCATTCTTTAAGGTTTCCATGCTACGAGACTTTTTATTTTCCATCATCCATGCCAAGCAAAACTTTTTGCACAAGTTCAAAGTCCTTTACTATATATTATGTGAAGAGCATACATTAATCCATACAAGACAAGAAAGGTCTGGAAGTGTGCTGTGGGTGGTGTCCAATTCATTCTTCAGGACAACAGAGACCCTCAGTGAATGCAGGGCCAATAAAGCATCTTCAGTCAGCAGGATTATCAATCTAAAAATATAATTCAAGGATATTAATGTAAGGACAGTATCACAATGACTGAGCCAATATTATATGATTCATCAACTATTCTTGATTACAAATATGTTATTAAGTAAAAGTTTTCAAAACTTTCATCTTTTCATTAAACATGCCTAATTGTGAAAAGAATGAATGAAGTCTTACCATGGTGTTCCTAAAGAATCTTAAGTCACGCTCACGCAGCAAGACCAAAAGACCTCTGATAACAGTAGTCCGTCATGAACTGACATAATTCAGTTCCTGGAAATCAAGAATCAATTTTTTAAAAATTAAAAAAATAATAATAATTCAAATTATATTTTAATGTATACTTTAACACGTGACCCCAAACATACCTGCTCATCATAAACCTTTAAAAGATTAGCCAGGGTATCTGCTGTCTTGCCAGTTTTGGATGCTGTTTGCCTTAAAATTGTCATCAAATGAAATAGGTGGTGGTCCAGTTTTGCAAAGAATTTGTGGGGAAAATTCTCATTTGTAACATGTTGGTACTCTGCAAACAGCAAAAAGAAACAAGAGAGAATTTCATTAAACAAACCCACACCACAAAATATACAATTCTAGAAAAAATGTATTAATATTATTATTATGTTTCATTAACTTATCTATTTTTTTACCTCAGATGAAAATCAGGTGTTGATCAGATGTTGAAAGCAGGATCTTCATGTTGTAAACTGAACTCAAGGTCTAGCTGAAGTTTCACTTTCCTTGCTGCAAAAGTATCATTGATAAATACACTGTAATATTTATTTTATCTGGATATGCCAGGCATAGTAGTACAAAATAAATATTTTACCCACCTTTCACATGCCTCCATTTAAGAACCTATCTGTAGTCAGCAACACCTGACCTTCAATTCTGTATGTACACAAAGTCACAGTGTCATTTAGCTGAGAGTGGAAGTAAGACAAGTGCCTGATGTCTAACGTTAACCTCCAAAACGGTTAGCAATAGAGCTGATTATCATGTTAGTTGCTTTAATTCGATGAACACAGATTTAAACAGTATTGAAATTTCTAAAACTGAATAGGACGACAAAGAAATTTAAGGCCTGATTTTAAAAGCTAGAAATAACAAAACTTACCTTATTGTCTAATGATGTAAAAATATATAGACTAAAATATTTATATTTTTAAGATATAAATATATTTTAAGCTACAAAATTTGCACATCAGAAAACTGTCTTCTTTACCACGTCTTGAATATTTTGTTTTGTTATTATTTTATTTAATAACATAATTTTGTATTAATGTGTTATAGATATGCATACTTTGTTTTTTAGGCTGTTTATATTCTCTCCAGAGTAGACATTTTAAAAAATAGATTGAAAAAAAAAAAACTTTTATCATACCTTTAAAATACATTTGACCTAAATGACATTTAAACTCATTTAACTGATCGCATTAATCAGGTAATCATTGATATGCAGAGATGTCGTCTTAAGCGCGAGGAAATATTAAGTGTTGATCAGTGCTGGTGATTGAGGTAAAGTTAGTTTTATATTTACACATTCAGACTTTCTCCTTAATAATATAATTTCAGAAAGGTAATTTTTGCATATTCTTAATGGTGAAATCATATTAGCAGCCAATGACTTTCAAAGTACAACATTGTTCAGTCAAAAAAAATAGTGCATTTAGTGTAATGTTGTTTTCATGTCATACTTGCATGTGATTTCAGAACGAATAGACAAAGAACCATGGTAAACAATTTATGGAGCGAGTCACAAGTTGTTACTAAATGAATGTATGAATATAAAACCAACTTTACCTCAATGTGGTAGTGTAAAATGAAGCTCTGCTCTAAACCTGCTCAGGTGAGGAGCGCAGCTTAAATGTTCTCCGTCAGGCTATCCTCATACATGGATCAGCAAGCAACAAGCTGCGTGTGACAGAGTTAAGTTTTGAGACTACGTTTTTGCGCGTCATCAGAAAATACCGTTAAGTGTTTAGGCGGAGATCATTTGAGTTATGATTAACGTTACGTTTCTTGCGCCTTTCGTTTCCGAAGTGCCTACAGATCGCGAAGATAATACCACATTCACAGACTGGATGGAGTTCAGCGCAGCGCCATGACATGCGGTTGTGAGAGCGCACGTCTCCATGACAACTTCAGCACAGGCTGAGAAAAGGCATACTCGCGCCAAGATTTAAATTTTTTTGAAAAATGTAATCTGCCGATTTTAAATATTTTTGTCTTTATCACACTCTGTTAAAATTCAGGGTTAACACATTACAACTAACGCTAACATTGCACTGATTCTAACTTTTTAAACAGTAATGTTAACGTTAGTTAGCAACAAGTGAGGCTAAACATGTTTTCTGTAATGTACGACATGTAAACGCACCCTGATTAACTCTACATTACATTGAACTGTTACTGTGATTATATTAATTAAAACATACATTTAATATTTCTTGGATTTGTAAATATTTTACTTACTGTAGTGTGAAGCGAGGCCGATCCGCCATCTTGAAAAAAATGACTGAAGCA